CTTCTGGTGCTCCTTCTACCTCTCCCAGCACTCTTTCAATGTTTCTTTCTCTGGCTCTGCTTCTTCTCCCCAACTCCTCTCTGTTGGTGTCCCCCAAGGTTCAGTCCTGGTCCTCTACTGTTCTCCATCTATACTGCCTCCCTTGGTAAATTCATTAGCTCTTTTGGCTTCCAAATCTACCGGTCCTCTCCTGACTCTCCCTGTCCCTCTTGACTAGTGTCTCTGACTGCCTCTCTGCTCTTTCTAACTGGATGGCTGCCCACTTCCTTAAACTAAACTTGACCAAAACTGAAATTCTGGTCTTTCCTCCCTCAGGTGTTGTTACTCCTGTGTCTGTCTCCCTTCAAGTCAACGGTGCTACCATCAGCTCCACCACGCAGGCTCGCTGCCTAGGTGTTCTCTTTGACTCCGACCTCTCCTTCAAGCCTCATGTTCAATCTATAGCCAAATCCTGTCATTTCCATCTCAAAAACATTGCGCGCATCCGCCCCTACTTAACGCCAGATGCGACTAAGGTGTTGGTCCATTCCACTGTCCTTTTTTGCCTTGACTACTGTAATTACCAGATTTTACTAATTACATGACGTAAAGTCATGATTTTATAAAGGACACGGAGGCGAATATTATGCTTATCTCTTTCTTTATTATACCTCAGCAGCAAAGAGAAGGTATAAACATTCATAGAAAAAAAGTTTTAACAGGTTCTCCAAGGGTTAACCCAACATCATACCCTTAACCAATAGGAACAGTCCTTCTATCTATAACCACCCATGTGACCTTTCCTCTCCCTCTTTCTTTGGTCATGCCGAAGCTGTATCTTTATAACTTGAGAAGACACTGGAACGCTTTATCCGTTGTGTCGAACTCTCCCATATCCCGAACTTGTAGGAACTTGTCTGCGTGAACTGCGGTGACAACTGGTCATCCAGGGTGTCGCTTACTGTGAATTAAGCTGTAATGGGACAGAGAAAAAAGTAGTAAAATATGGTCTGAGGAACTGTTTGTCACAATGGTAGTGACTAAATCTTAGTATATGCATTAGGTACTACAGACTCACTAGTATCGAAAATAAAAAACTATTGTCCTAAATAATCGACTTAAATTGATACAAAAGAAGACACCACAATGACCCTTATTCTATTTTTTATTGGGTGGGAATGTCACTCTTCTCCGCCGATATAGGCCTGATATACTTACCGGGTGGGCCAATATTCGCCTCCGTGTCCTTTATAAAATCATGACTTTACGTCATGTAATTAGTAAAATCTGGTAATTTTATTAAAGGACACGGAGGCTCATATTATGCTAGTTTAAAGCTGTGCAATGACTGTTGATGATACGTGGTCTGTAGGGTGAAAATAATATTCCTTGAAGGTGGATTCGTGAGACCAATCTGCCGTCCGTAACAAGTCTTCCAGCCTGTATCCCAAGTTGAATAGTTTAGATGCCATAGCTCCTCTAGTGGAGTGCGCCCCGTATACTGAGGTATCTATGTTTGCAGAGGTCATTATCCACTTCACCCATCGGGCTATCGTTATTGAAGATACTGGCTGGTGTGGTGAATTGACGGCCAGAAATAGTTCATGCTGTCCAGAGTTTCGAAATGCCTGTGTCCGCGTCTCATACTCCTTGAGGCAGACTATTTGGCACAGGTTTTTTTTGTGCGGGAATGCTGGATATGATACTGATGTTGTTGCTGATTTAGTACGTCTGGAAATGTTGAAAGTTACTCCCGTTGAAGTGAACGTACGTGCGTCGACGTCCAATGCCCGGACATCCGAGACTCTTTTACAGGATATTAGGCATAGGAGCATGGCCAGTTTCGCTGATAGTTGTTTCAGTGTGAGGTCAGAATTCTGTGGCCATTGTTCCAAAAGATTTAAGACCAAATTCACGTCCCATACTGTACTATATCGGGGTCGTGGTGGTCTTGCCAATCGAATTCCGCGTAGGAGCCTGCATACCAACAGATGTTTACCCGCTGGGAGTCCTTCAATACCCTCGTGTCCAGCGGATATCGCTGACCTGTATACATTGATGGTTCGGTACGCAAGACCTTGGTCGTATAGGTGTGTAATAAAACGCAACAGGTGATTTACAGGAGCACATACGGGATCCACGTGTTGTTCCATGCACCAACCACTCCAGATGTTCCAAGCGTTAGAGTAGGATCGTCGGGTTCCAGGAGCCCAGGCTCCCGCCAGAAGTTCGAGAGTTGTTTGTGGAACGTTTGGCACGACCCAGTGTCCCCGGAAAGGAGCCACGCTAACAACCTGAGTTGTCCCTGCACCATCAGAGGGTGTGGGTTCCCATCTGGGTCTGAAAGGAGATGTTCTCGGGCAGCATTCTGGGGAGATCTATGGACATCTCCATGAGTAAAGGGAACCAAGGCTGTGCAGTCCAGAATGGAGTTATGAGGACTAGGGATGTCCGTGCGTGGTCGAGGTGCACTAGTGTTCGTGCCAGCAGGGCGAACGGAGGGAACGCGTATAGTCGTTTGCTCGGCCATGGTTGAAGGAATGCATCTGTAGCTAACGCGTCTGGGTCCGGCCTCCAGCTGAAGAATTTTGGGAGTTGCGTATTCAACCGTGACGCAACCAGGTCTATATACATCGGACCCCACAGCGTTTGCAATCATATGAACGTCTCTCGGTTCAGGCGCCAATTTCTGGTATCCTGTAGGTGTCTGGAGTTCCAATCTGCTACGGTATTGGAAAGTCCCGGGATGTATTCGGCTCGTACTGTTATGCTGCGTTCTAAGCAAAACTGCCAAAATTCTGTGGCTAAGTCTGCTAAAATTTTGGACTTGGTGCCGCCGAGGCGGTTAATGTACTGTACGGCTGATACGTTGTCCATCCTCAGGATGATGGAGCAATGCGTCACGGGGCCCAGGAGGCTCTTCAGTGCGAATGATCCTGCCATTAATTCCAGGCAGTTGATATGTAGTGTCCTCTCCGATTGGGACCATTTTCCGCCTGTCGAAGTATGTCCACAGCGCGCTCCCCAGGCCTGTGTGCTGGCATCTGATTCTATTACGCAATCTGGGTTGTTGCCGAAGATTGCTCTGCCGTTCCACGCTTCCATGTGTTGTAGCCACCACCTGAGCTCCTCCTTGGCTGTGTGATCGAGTGGCACAGAGTCTGAGTAGGAGTGTCCTGAGCGTAGCTGTGCGGCTTTTAGTCTCTGCAGGGCCCTGTAGTGCAAGGGTCCCGGGAAGATCGCTTGTATGGAAGCGGAGAGGAGTCCAGTTATTCTGGCTAGTTGTCTGACTGTGAGTATCGGGCGAGCCAATGTTCTGCGGATCTCCTTCTTGATGATTTTCATCTTTGTTGGTGGTAAGCTTAGGGTCCCTAAGACCGCCCCTATCTCGAATCCTAGGAATTCTAAGGACTGGGAGGGGATTAGTACCGACTTCTCCCAATTGATTAGAAATCCCAGGTTTTGTAGTAGTGTTATTGCCCAATCTAAGTGTTGTAGTAGTAGGGTGTCTTGGGCCATGATCAGCATATTGTCCAGATATATGATCATGCGAACCCCTCTGCTGCGTAGCAGCGCAAACACTGGTTTCAGCAGTTTTGTAAAGCACCATGGTGCTGATGATAGGCCAAACGGTAGGCACTGGAACCTCCATGTCTGAGAGTCCCAACTGAATTGCAGGAGATGCTGACACTCCTTTGCAATGGGGATGGTGAGATATGCATCTTGGAGGTCTAGTTTGACCATCCAATCCCCCAGCCTGAGAAGATCTCGTAGGCAATGAATCCCTTCCATTTTGAAGTGATGATATCTTACAAACGCATTGAGTGGGCGTAGGTTGATCACAGGTCTTACCCCACCGCCTTTCTTGGGGACCAGGAACAGATTGCTCATGAAGCCTGGGGAGTGAGGTGCGACCTGATAGATCGCTCCCTTCTCCGCCAGTGCCCTGATTTCCTTAGACACAAGTTCTCTGTCCTGAGGGGAGAACACCATCCGCCGTGGCATTGCGGATTGGGTTGGGTCTTTGACGAATTCTATATGGTACCCTGCAACCGTGTTGAGAATCCAGGCATCGGACGTGAGTCTGTGCCATGCCCTGATAAATTTGCAAAGTCTGCCCCCCACGTGTGAGGTACGAGAGCGGGAGAAGGGGAAACCACTTACCATAAGGTCGTCGGCCGTATGTGGAACCCCTGTGACCTCTGGGCTGCCACGATCTGCCCCTGACCAGGAAGAAAGGTGTGGGGGTTCTGGTCTCCGTCTGAGGGAACCGTGGTGTCGTGAGGCCTCGGTAGCCCCGGTGGGAGCTCCGCGATGGGCGGCTGGACAGGCGGCCCCTGTACCTGCCAGCCCCTCCAAAAACCTTCGGGGAGAACACCCGTTTCAGGTTTGTCTGTGCCTTATCCAGGGCTGTAAATGTGCTCACGTAGTTGCCCAGTTCTTTTACAAAATTGTCTCCGAAAAGGAGGCCTTTTGCCTGGGGTCCAGGCTCGGTTATGGCCATGTTGACCAGTTTAGGGTCTATCTTCATGAGAATTGCCTTCCGCCTCTCAGTACTAAGTGCGGCATTGGAGTTGCCGATGAGGCAGATGGAGCGTTGCGCCCACTCCCGGATCACTAAGGGATCTAGCGGTGCGCCACCTGAGATTGTCGCCTCGACCAAGTCGAAGATTTTTGCGCTGGGGCCCAAGGAGTCCAGCACCTTATCCTGGCAGTGGCGAAGGGAGTAGTCTAGCCCTTTTTTGGCTTTCCAGCCAGCCTTACCCAGGAACTGGGCAATCTTGGGGACCACGTCTGGTGTGGCGCAAGCCATATCGGGGACCGTTGGGCGTGGGCACTCTGCCCTTAACTTATTCCTGGTTGTTTTATCCAGGGGCTTCCTGATCCTGGCCGCTATATAATGGGCCACATGGTCCGCTGGGAACCAGTCTGTAGACCTAGGGTGTTGTAGGTCGTCTGGGTTAAATAGGGGCTCGCCCTGGGGGTCTAGGATGATGGAGTCATCCGTGAGCGCTTTTCCCTTAGTTGGTGTGACAGCCCGGCCGGGCTCACGGGAAGAGTTTCCCGATTCCAAAGAGCCGATATCTTCGGACTCACTCATTACCTCCTCTATGTCCGAACCAGAGTCGGATGTCTCTGTTTGGGCTTTTGCCCATTTCCACGTCCTCACCGTTTTTGCCCGGTGGGTGGTTCTTTTGCGTGGGGGCCCCACGTCCTCAGTAGTGACAGGGTGTGTCCTGTCCGTCGTGCTGTTTTTGGAGGTGTGTTTGCCCATATGGTGGGTCTTCTCCATAGCCTTACGACCGCTGAGGGGTGCAGGCTTGTCAGTTTGGGCTTTGGGGTGGAGGCCGCTAGGGTTGGTGTTAGACGCCAGTATGGCGTTACTAACGGACTGTGTCAGGGTTTCAGACATCGCCCCCATAGCCGTGACTATAGCTTGGGTGACCGATTTGGTCATGGTTGCATCCAGAAGCGAGTGAAACTCCTCCGAGTTCAACTGATCCATGGATGCCATGTCCTCTCCCAGTGGCGAGCATGGACGTGTTACCTGGGGCACATGGTGAATTGCGTCCTTACTGGCATCAGTGGGTGTGGAAACCCCTTGGTCCCTGAGGTGTTGCATTATAGGCAGGTTATACACAAAAAACACCTGGGACAGATATGGCAGGGTATACTGAGTGACACAGTGAATTTTTGCCCCAGACTGTAACCAGTGTTGTAAGAAAAATGTCCCTGGTAACCCTATGCAAGGAATAAACAGTAGCATTAACTGGGCAGTGAGCACTGCTAATTATGCAAAAGGGGGATTCAGGCACACACAAAGGCTGTCAGCTTACCGAGTGTTCCCTCTGGAATGGCCGCCAGGGAGCACTGGTAAGCTGTCAGCCAATGGGTGAATGCCCGCCCTCAGGTACAGGGGGCGGGCAGAGAAAAAAGCGCGGCAAACAGACCAGACCGGCTGCTGGCAAATGGCCGCCGAGCCGTGCGGCCATTACTGCGCATGCGCAAGCGGTCTCTGGATTCGGAGCGCTCGCGCCGTGAACGGCCGCCGCGACTCGCAGAGAAGACAAGTGGGGCGGGTAATAAACTACCCAGGGAGGTGAGGAAGGGGGGTTAACCGCCGGAGGGGAGGGGGAAACCCCAGAGAAGCCGGCTACCTGCACCACGGGCAGATAGGCGCCAGTCGATAAAGCAGGGGGATTACACAAATAACATCAATGAATACCTGCAAATAAACAGAGGAAACATGACATAAAAAAAACAAATATGATTTAACCAGCTAAATAGGTTGCTCTGAGGAGAGCTAAAATGAGATGGTACTTAGCTGAGGCAGCAGCAAAGAAAGAGGGAGAGGAAAGGTCACATGGGTGGTTATAGATAGAAGGACTGTTCCTATTGGTTAAGGGTATGATGTTGGGTTAACCCTTGGAGAACCTGTTAAAACTTTTTTTCTATGAATGTTTATACCTTCTCTTTGCTGCTGAGGTATAATAAATATGAGCCTCCGTGTCCTTTAATAAAATCCGCTTCTCAGTGGTCTTACGTGCTCCCAACTTGTGCCGTTACAGTCCATAATGAATGCGGCAGTGAGGCTCATCTTCCTGTCCGCCCGCACCTCCCACTTCTTCATAAAAGCGTATCAAGCGCTGCGGAATTTGACGGCGCGCTATAAATATCATAATAATAATAATATATGTGTGAAGTCACGGTATGTTACGGTATATGAGAGTCAGGAAGTAAGATTCCCAGCTCTCATACACAGAAGGCGTGGAGGCATGGCTTGAAGCTACACTTCCAAACCCTCAAATTATTAATAAGATTAAGTTGTTATAGTGCATACAGTGTTCCTTTAAGTCTGAACCATTTTATATTTTGTGTTGCATTTTATTATTTTAGACTTATTGCTTGAATCTTCAATTGTATTGCTTATTTTATAAGGTCAAAATGAATGTTAGGTCTAACATTAATCCAAGAATGTTTTTTAAAGGTTTACTAATACAATATACCACAAACATGTACTTTAATTTATGAATACTGTAAGTATGATAGAACAAATCACAGCTTTCTAAAGTGAAAACTGTAAATGTTAATATATCAGTATATCTCTGTATTCCCATAAATGTTATGGTTACATATTTATACTTGACTTACTTGACTTACTTTATTTTCTGACCTCTATAAACTATACCAGTAATTGCATAGTAACTTCGAATTGCAAACCATATTAAAAAAAAAAAAAAACAGAATACTTATATTGAGGTATTTTTAATTCTGTATTAAACTGTCACTAAACTATATTAGTAATTAGAAAACATGCATTAAGTATTAAGCATGCAAATTGTTAAGTACATTCTAATCTACATGATTTCTATATAATAAAATTTTGCTTAGGGATGTGTAAGAAAATAGTGTATAACATAATATCTTAAATTTTATAGAGTCATAAATTAAAATCTCATGTAATTCTGACACAGTTTGTTAAGTGGTTCAGCTCAAATTTTAAGTAGACATGGGGAATGCTTCTGGAGAGTTAGTGGTTTTAATTGATTGCAGTATGGGGATTTACCTGGGAGCCCTCTGTAGTTCCTAATATCCTCCGTTGCTAGAAAGATAGTCTGCGGCTATCTCTTATTCACTCACTTAATATCACTGAGGTTGCCGAGCAACCGCTGTAATCACCGCGGGACGTAACGTAATGATGTCACCCACGGCTTCTGCACACTTCCGGGTCTCGATCGTTTGGGGAGGTCCTATGCACTGCACCTGGTAAACAAATATGTTTTATTTCTTATAAATATGCACCAATTGTTGTACACTTTGTTCTGATCTTGATAAAGACCTGAATAGGTCGAAACGTTGATCTGTTGAACTCTGAATTTATGGACACAGTAAATTGAACACTTTTCAAATCCAGGAGTGCGCCTAATTATTCGTAATATATATGTTCTCGCTGATTCTTGCACCCTGGTATGTACCCATAATTTTTATATCTAAGGAAGAGTGCCAAACCTATTTCCACTTTTCTATATACAAGGGCTGCGAGCCCCTTAGTTTGTGCACCTCCACTTATGGATTAAAACTTATAGTGGCATATCCACTAAACAGTGATTTCATTCACCTTCCCCAAGATTTCATGGAGGATTTTTTGGCAAGAGCAGGTGCGCTTGAGACAACAGCCATTACATTGTCCATCATCGATGCACAGGCATTATATATATTTTTTTCTTTTTTTGTAACCTAGGCTTTCCAAGTAAAGATTCTTTATTCCAGAGAATTATATCGATGTTTCAGCTCCATTATAGAGCTTTCATCAGGAAAGCTCCATAATGGAGCTGAAACGTCGATATAATTCTCTGGAATAAAGAATTCTTACTTGGAAAACCTAGGAGTGCCGGTATTTTTTCTATTTAAATATATATATATATTAATATGAAAGTGCACGTAGAATGATATTGATTAAATATATATATATATATATATATAATATAAAATAAATAAATATGTAAATACATAAGAAAATAAAATAAAATCAAACAGACATCCATTCCCCTAGGTATCAATAAATTCTTGAGTGTCAATATAGATTTTAATAATTACGTATGTAATGTGTATAGCTGTCATACTCAACCAAAATCAGTAGTATCCATTTCCATATCCATTTGGAATCATATCTACAGCTCTGATGTTTGAGCAGGAACTAAATATGCTAAAGCAGGGGCACTAGCCAAATGAGCTATCCGACTTACTAAAGCTAGTCATGCATATCCAACATCCTGTCACATTATCCATTAAAATAATTTAGTGACACATACCAAAATAACATATACAAACAGGGTACATTTATTGGCAGATTAACAATATCCCCTTAAGGACACATGACATGTGTGACATGTCATGATTCCCTTTTATTCCAGAAGTTTGGTCCTTAAGGGGTTAATATTTTAATTTGATATACAATGTTTTCATTTTTTCTTATTTTCATATGTATTTAATATTAAAATCATCCCCAAACATATAAAGAGTAAAATGGAAAAAAATATATGTGATTAGAATAAATGTTATATCTATCTCCTCATCCCATTTTCTTTTGTATGTATGCTCAGCTGGAACAAATTGATTATGCTTATCAGTCATTGCCCAGAAAATGCTGCTTAGCAACGAGGATGATTAAGCAGAGAAGTTTTATGAAAAGCTCTTTTAGTAAATGGTCCAAAATCAAACTTAGTTTTTTTACTTAGCAGGGTTGTACAATCTTAGTCATCAAGGGTGCAAACAGTATAATACTTAAGGGTTCTCTTTTCTGCAATGATGTGTCAGTCAGTGAAGTAGTCACTTTGATTAAACAATATTTGAGAAGTTCAACTATTAAAATTAGTTCCCTTGGCTATCTTTATAGGATAAATGTGTCACTTAGCCATCATAAGTTAAACATTATTTTTTTAAATGTACTACAAACAATATTTTTGTTAAACTATACGCTTCTGCTGCATTTGTCTATTAATATATTTATTAATATATATATCCTTGAATGCTTGGCTCTCTACAAGGTCAGCAAGACAATAAGAGCCTTCATCAAGAACTCGATTGGCAAGTGGAAAACAACTCTAGAAGCCAATTCCAGGACAATAATTTAAGTGAACATCAAATTTGGTATATACCAAGGTGATGCGCTATCCCCAATGCTGTTCTGCATAGGCCTAAACCCCCTTATCCAGATCAAGAAGAGTGGATACGGATACAGGTTCAAGAGTAGAGCTACCATCAGCCACCTACTCTACATGGACGACATCAAGCTGTATGCCAAGAATGAGTGGGACATTGTCTCACTGATCCACCTAACTAGGATATACAGCAAGGACATCGGAATGCCATTCAGACTAGAGAAGTGCGGAGGATGATAGAAAAAAGAGGGAAGATGATCAGGACAGAAGGAGTTGAAGTTCCATAAGGCTAAAAAGGAGATGTAGAGAGTAGCTACAAGTACCTGGGTGTATCACAAGCACATGGCAACCATGAGGAAGAGGCAAGGAGGATAGCAACATTCAAATACCTCCAAAGAGTCATAAAGGTGCTGAAGTCCCAGCTCAATGGCAAGACCAAGATTCAAGCCATTGAGAACCATATATGATGTGGAGATGGAGTTAATAGCTTTAAGGAAGTGGGGGCCCAAATCCTTCCAAAATATTTTATAGTATGAGACAGAAAACCTGTCTGAATCCAAACTGTTATCCACATATTGTGTTAGTTTATTCATCTTCAGCGAATGGTTCATATGATGTAATTGGACGAAGGGCCCTTCTACCTTGCAATGTTTTCCATGAAAGATCAGAGAAAATTAGCAATTTGTTGAAGGCAGATTGTAGTAATGGTGAGATTTTGGAGAGTCGGACGATCTCTTTTTTGAGGCTATAGTAATGCACTCTTGGGGACTGTGGGTGCTCCTTAAGGGAACAGAGCCAGATGAGCCTATTCTCAGAAAATAGGGGTGTCTGCTGATATCTGTAGTATTGGGTT